TCAACAAGCCTTCCAACAAGGATTATATTCCCTCATCTGCGCAATTTTTGCAAAGCGAAAAAGTACGATGGTCTGATCTTTTGACGTTTTGGAGTGATGCATTAGTTTGTGGAACCGATAAGCGTGCAGTAGATGGGTTGCTTCCTTTTATATGTGTGTTCTTATCAGTGCCCCGTCCACATCCACAAAGCGGCATATCCCATGTACCCAGTAGGCAACAAGACGCAGAAAAAGGCGGTTCCAACACCTGAATTCGGCCTTATTACGCGTCCGCTAGGCAATATGCTGCGGAGTACGTTTAGTAGGCTGGTGTCTCTTCTGCGCCGATTCGACTTCACATGCTCGGTTGTCGGCGCCACCAACTATAGAAAACAGGGTTCCACTGGGCTGTGGAAGGTCAGCAGATCTCCATTCCTCGAGATCTCTAAAGGATGAATAGGGTGAATGGTCTTCACTAAGCAGTTCTGTGGTAAGTAGTCTGTCTTCTGACTGGCGGGTGCGTATATTCTCCACAGCCGTCGTCTCCATGGATAGTGAGCATCTATATATGACACCCCAGCAAGGGATAACCAGCAAAATAGGTGTCAAGAACGCCCCAAACCCTTTCATCTCCGTTGCCGAGACACCAAGGAGCCTAGATGGCATAAAGAACACTCGTTGTAAGACCTTTGCATATTGTGGTGTTTGAATACGAACTGCATTCGGATGGCTGGTGCAAGTGTGTTGAGGTGGCCCTGCATAGAATAATGGTAGGGACACTTTCTTTCACAGTGGATCAAGGACCCGAGACCAGGCTTCTGTACTAGGTCCTGTGCTCTGAGAAATATATCAGTGAGCCAGCACGAGGAGATTTGATGTGAGATTGATTGGTAGTGTCTAGTTACAGCGGACGGGATTGATTCACAACAGGACAGAGGCTTCCTGATGGGAAGGGCCTAGTATCCAGGGATCTATGGGAGACCTTCAGTCGGAAGCAGAAACTCGACTGCTCGCGCTTACGCTTGCCGATTGGACGTTGATGGAACCGAGGAATAGGTATCATATAGGAAGGGCACGGAAGCGAAAGGAGGATCTAGAATTGTTGAAAATGCAGCGTAGACATATTAGGAAAGTGTGAGGAATTCGTTTATTGCACGCTTCGGTAAAAGTATGTTAAATTATAGTAGCTAGGGAGGATGGCTTGCAGGCAAAGGACTCATTGAATACATATTTCATAACAGTTGGGCCAGCCGTGTAGAACCAGAAGAGAACACCGAGAGGCCTACCTCCATAATAACCTGGGCACAGCGATAAGAAACCACAAATAGGCTCTCTCAGCTAGACTGACCAAGAAAGTCTGCGCGTGATGTCTGAGTTACTTCCTAAAGAGGCAACTTTTGTCTATCTCCACTTGGGGCGCGCGATCAGTCGCCAAGCCGCGTGGTCACATGATGACCTGCTGCAAAGAGCAGAGCCAGCACCCGATTTATACCACCGTTGATGGCCATTTCCATCGATTTTGGCTTCTTAAAACAATGCAAACTGTTGATTGAGCTGAACAGACATACGAATCACTCCACTTTGGCAAGTATTGGCGTAGATTGACCAAGCGTACAATCTCATTATGTGACTCACGTGACCGTAACTCTTGGCATCAAATTCATCCCGCAGTTTTCATCCAGCTTGCTCCGTGCCGGCGACTGTCTTTCTCAATCCTATCCTCACGTTACGCTGACAGTTCGGTGGGCCAATCTGTTTCGTGTGTCATATTTTTTTGTTCTTTAATTTGTCCACATTGCTGGTTTCTTCGATCATTAAACCGCCAACGACAAGATGATCTGCCAACGGTGCCGAACCAGCATCCTCTCTCGACTACAGCCGCAAACCTCGATTGCGTGGTCTGCTCCTTCATCCACCCGCCAGCTTCCAATCCAGCGCAACCTCTTCCGGAATTATAGCACCGATGGCAAGCCTACGGTTTCCGCTCCCCCGCCGCCTCCTTCCCCTAGACAGCCCGCCGCGGGCGACGTCTCGATCCCGTCGGCCATTTCGTCCGCTACCCCGGGAGTGTCGCAACCCTTGAGCACACCGGAGGGCATTCACACCGATGTGAACCCCGAAAAGCCCACCAAGCCCAACCCCCGACCCACGAAAAGCTCCTGCCCGGTCGGCACTCCCCTGCACGGCCTCAACTACTTCAAAAACAAGCCGAACGTCGTCGCCCGGGAGGACGCCGAGTATCCGGATTGGCTGTGGACGTTGCTGGAGGATAGCAACAAGTCCAAGAAGTCCGAGGGCGGAGTTGACCCAAGCAGTATGGACATCCTATCCCCATTTCGATCTACGTATTATGCCAGCCTTTACTAACTATGCCTTCGTTTCCTAGCTCTGAACAAGAAACAGCGCAAGCGTTACGAGAAGAAGATGTCTGCTCGCGCTGCCCTCCTCCCGCCGAAGATCCCCATCCACCACCACGCTACCGATATAACCCCTGCCGAATACAACCGCCGCGAATCGGCGACCGAGAACATGTTGGGCGAGGCCACGCAGAGTCTCGACAAGCGTTCCGAGATCACAAAGAGCGCGAGAGATGCCCGCAGAAAGGCTATTCGGGAGGCCAACTTCCTGCGCGGACTCTAATTTCTTGAATAGTTGGGTTTGCCTGGGGAGTCATCAGGGCTTTGTTGCGTCGAGTTCTATTCAAAGCTACCTCTGTACAATTGTGTTGACTGACATTTCGTGTGCGCGTGAAAAGGACCCCCGTGTTGGGACATTCCAGATGTATTTTATGTGACTTGTATTCATCTTCTTTTATAATCCGCAGATCAGGCGCTGAATGGAATGCCATTTTTGTATACGGTTTTCCGCCCTCTCCTTTTCACCACTGACCATCAGGATACTGTTCTTGTCACACATTCTGTCATGTACATACGATCATGGCATGGGACTCGACCGAAGCCTGATATATCTACGAACTGTAGGAAAGACAAGCGATCGAAGAGAAATTGCTAATGTGCCATGTGTTCTCCTAGGCACCATTCACCGAGGGACTTCCCAAGCCTTATCTTCGCCCTGACCATTTACCCACGGCAAACATGCATCCCAAAGAGCCCGAACCTCCCCCTCTCCAATATTCACCAATGCAGTCCATATATCCTTATCGCCTCTTTCGACCCAAACCAGGAAAGAAACGATCAAGAAGTCCGCATATCCTGGCCTGTCGCCCTCCAGGAAAGGCCCGTTCTTCCCTAACCTGCCTCGCAACATCTGCGCCAAGGGTGCCATTTCGGCCACCGTCGCGCTGATAGCTGCTTGAATCTGGTCGGGGTCTTTAGGACGAACTTCGGAGAGAGGCTTCCCGAACCGAGCCGACCGAGTCTTGATGAAATATTCGCGACCTCTGGGATCGAGGAAGTCCGCCACACGAGGGATCAACAAGGCAGCACACCTGGATCTGACGCTTGCTACGAGTTTGTCAACCCCGATAGCTAGCGCGTAACTGGCATCTCGAGACGGAAATAAAGGCGGGGATGGATACGTTTGGTCTAAATGGGCTGCGATAGCGAAAGATTCCATCAGAGCTCCGTGCGAATTTGACGTCACCGATGGCGGGTGACAAATGGCGGGAAGGGTATACGGCATGCCCTCCCTGTTAGGTTGGACGTCCAAGTTGGAGAGCAGTGGAGCGATATCAGGATAGGAGATGTAGGACTGTGTATAAGCAATGCGTTTGTAGTTCAAAACCATTCGGGTCTTAATCGTGTTTGGGGACCATGGTTTCAGGTCTCCTGCAATTAATGTGAGCTAGCTGGGTTTAGAGTTGGAGGAATGCTTGACTACCGCAGGAGTCGTACGTGAGAGAGTTGATTCAATATCGAAAAAATGCACTGGGGGTTGTTTCGCCATGTTTGTTTTTTGTTCTTTCCCTGGTATGAATCGGAGTCTGCAGGCTGAGGAGAGTGTACTCAGTAGTGAGAGCGATGCGGGGTTGATGTCGTTGATTTATCAGCGATGCGGCGAAACTCCGATGCGCTCTAAGTTAAATCAAGTACAGCTTGTTTTATTAAGCATTGGGGGCCCGAAACATTGGGTCTCCTCGAGCTAATTTCATTCTCATCCAGCATGCTGGGTGGACGCCGGGTAGGGCTGATCATGAGCTGATTCTCCTGATGCCCATCCCTCTAAACAGCTTCAATGGTGTCCCAGGGGAGGACTTCTCGCAAAAGATGCTGGTACATACGTCGAAGAACCCCTCAAGATCAAAACAGATAGAATTAACAAGCAAAAGAGAAAATTGATATCCCTGGTCAGCCAAGGAAACGGCGTTAGTACGGAGAGGGAAGGAAGGAAGGAGTCTTGGTGGTCACCTGCCTTTGCTGCCTCAGGGCTGCTCACTTGCGTCTCCCGGGTCTTGTGGCTTCCTCTCCAATTCGCCTCATCTCTCAATCATCGTTTTCATCAAAATTGCGATCCCCCTTTGGCATTTCTTCCTTCTCCTGTCCTCTGTCGCTATGATCCCCACTTCGTTCCCAACAACAACATCCGACCACGGCAGGACACATAAAAGTCGCACAAAAAACTCTCTTGAAACCAAAGATATCCCGGTCCAAAGAACGCATTTGAGCTCTCATGTATTGGGCCGGTGAATTGACAGTCCGTGTGATCAAGCCAAGCACCCGAGTGGAGCACCAAAAACAAATCACGAAACGCCGCCAACTCACCAGATAACCCGTGTCGGTAGCCCACCTTCCTCGGTGTCCTGTCGTCTATCCCATCGAATGTTGGTGGCATCTCAACCTTCTCTTTTTTGTTCCATATTTTCTGTTGTTCTGAAGGTCCACTGTTTCCCGGAAAATATTGTACCTGGGCCACTGTGACTCTGAGGGCTGGTACCAAAACAGAGTGTTGATCCTCCACCGCACACCGACCCAACGTCATCAGAGGGAACCCCATATCGGCAAAGCACATAACAGACGACGTTTTATGCACAGCACGTCTTATCCATCCATTTATCATCAATCATGGGAATAGTCAAGGAGATTGTCGAGCTCACTCATCATACTGACCATCTCAGTCTTGACCCCTCTTTAGTGCCTGCCGACAGCAGATTAGCTTCTGAATTCTCACCTCCCGTATCTACCCATTTAGGTCGTATTTATAAAACCCTAAAAGAACCAGCAAAGTTCGACTTTCTTCGGGATGTGCAACACGAGTCCCAAGATGTGGATGCCACTCGTCAGGGGCCGGCGGACCCTCTCGCCTCCTTGGATACATTCGCTGCGTATATGTCCAGTACAGCGTCGTCTGCAGCACGCCCCGCAAAAAGGCAGGAGCTTTCTTCGCCAATTGCGGACTATTTCATATCTTCGAGTCACAATACCTACCTGACCGGCAACCAACTGTATAGTGACGCAGCTGCGAGCGCTTATGCCAATGTATGCCCTCCCTTGAGAGTTTCATTTCCGATCCACCCGAAGCCCTTCCTAAGATGCAGTGCTGCACTTGCAGTGTATGGGTGCTTACTTGGTTTCTTGGGATTGGAGCGTTTGTGCGGAAGAAAGTGCAACCATGCGTCACTGTGTCCCCTGCATAAAGCATTAGTCTTTAAAACCAGACTGGGTCAACGTTTCTCGGCACAGATACACAGCAGCTAATGACATGATAGGTTCTTCTCACTGGTTGCAGATGCGTCGAAATTGACATCTGGGACGGTGGCTCATCAGACGATGACGGTGAAGACGACACTAGCAGTAGCAGTAGTGATGACTCCAGCCCCGATGAAAAGAAGGTCGCTCGGCGTAAGAAGCAAGACAATCCAAAGAAGGAAAAGCCCTCCCGCATGAAATCCGTTTCGTCCAGGTTGGGAGGCTTGTTGGGTCACAAGTCGCCTCATCATGCCGAGTCTGCTCCCAAAGAAACTGGCGTGGCTGCTGGTACCGCAATGCCGGTGCCGCCACGTCCAGAGCCCAAAGTGCTCCATGGTCACACGCTAACCAAGGAGGTAACGTTCCGGGATGTATGCCATGTCATTCGGGATAACGCTTTCGTGACGAGCGACCTTCCGGTCATTGTGAGTCTGGAAGTGCATGCATCACTCGAGCAGCAGGCCATGATGGTGGAGATTATGGAGGAGACCTGGAAGGGGATGCTGGTGGAAGTCACACCCGAGATCGCAGCCACCAACAGCCTTCCACCGCCCGAGGCTCTGAAGCGAAAGATCCTGATTAAGGTGAAGTATGTGGCTCCAACGAGCCAAGGAGAGGCAGACGACATGGAGGATGATCGCACAGACGAGCTCGAACCCTCGAGCCACCAACAACCCAGTCAGGGTGTATCCAATAGCTTAGCTACCACCGGCGATCCCTCCGCCCCACCGGCCAAAAAGCCTTCGAAGATCCTACATGCTCTCAGTAGGCTGGCTGTTTTCACCAAAGGATTTCACTTCAGCCATTTTACACAACCAGGTAAGTTCGAACAAAAGGAAAAGACTAGCTACCTGGCTACCCGACCACCTTCCCACCTTCTTCTCGATTCGGATGTCAATCCCCCACCCCCAAAGGATCTGACTATCCACATCTTAGCCCAGTAGGGGCCAAAGACGAAAGGGACTAAACAAAGTTAACTTTCTTTTCCCCGTATGACAGAGGCCAAAGTCCCCGGACACGTGTTTTCCCTTTCAGAAAGTGCGGCCCGGGCAGCATATGCGAAGGAGCGGGACGCGCTCTTTGAGCACAACCGCCACCACTTCATGCGGGTCTATCCGTATGGGCTGCGCGTAACGTCCTCCAATTATGATCCGACCCCCTTCTGGCGATGTGGCGCCCAGATAGTCGCGCTGAACTGGCAGTACCTAGACAAAGGAATGATGCTCAATCACGCCATGTTTGACGGTGAGCAGGGCTGGGTGCTCAAGCCGCAGGGCTATCGCGGATCCGACCCCCCTGGTGGGGGCAACATCATCCGCAGTCATCTTGAACTGACAATTGAGGTTCTCGCTGGCCAAGCAATTCCGCTGCCCCCGGGCGACACTAAGGAGAAGGGATTCCATCCCTACGTGAGCTGCTTGTTGCACATCGAGACGCCGCCGGAGGAGGAATCTGGATCGGCCAACGCAGACGATAGTACCGATTCCGACGAGACTAGCTACAAGCGAACCATCAAGAGCGACTACGGATCCAACCCGGACTTTGGCGGGCAGAAGCTTGAATTCCCGAAATTGTCGGGTATTATCGAGGAGTTTACATTTGTCAGGTACGTTTACTATAATAATAACAGTACATATAATACCTCGGTGTGGGCTTCCAGGATTGTGTCACACAACATTGGCTCGGCGCGCTGAGCGACAAGAAAGAAAAAGAAAAAGAAAAAGGCAAGAAGAAGATCAAAAAAACAAAAACCATAAGCGTGAGAAAAAGCAAAACCAAAGGAGGCCCTCATCGAAGATATTATTCCACGTAGCTAGGTAGTATGTTATACGAAACTTGATCGCAATCGGCTAACCCACGAATTTCTTTTTGTATCTGCAGGTTCAAAGTCAAAGACGACGAATTCGGTCGCGACTCCATGGCCGCCTGGGCATGTATCAAACTCAACCGACTCCAAGCGGGTTATCGCCTAATCCATCTCCTGGACTGCTCCGGACGCGCATCTGGCGGTGTCCTTCTCGTCCACATCACCAAGGACATCTCCTAAAGATTTACATATAACAGCTAGCTCTTAACTATAGATCACTCCATGCAGGTGCTGATTGCGGACCCAGAATGTCAAGAAAATACTTAAGTAAGAGATACGGATACGTGCATTGCATTATGTATCAGATTGGTGGTTCTATATTAAGATGCCTGTCAAATTTGATTGATTCCGACAGCATTCATCTCCCGGGAGTTCTATCATGCAAGCCATCGATGTTTGCACATGATTCCTTCTTCTTCTTTGAATAATATTTTTTTGCACCCCCAGTGGCAAAGTCAGTCAGAAACGAGGGGTAGCGGAAAAGAGACGAAGTGAAAAAAAATAAATAAAATAAAAAAAGGAAAATGCAATGACCTCTCAAAAGAAAGAGGAGAAAAATCGATGAATAAACCATCAAAAAAGCAAATAGAAGGCCAAAGGGGAAGAAAAAAAAAAGTAATCAAAATAACGTCCCACTTGTGGCGCATCTGAAGCGACCCTAGATAAGTCCGACAGGATGCAAACGCACATGCAGCCGGTGCCTTGGTCTTTGCGTTTGACTTTGACGTGAGTTGGAGCCGATAATGGCTGTTGACCTGTTTGAGTGAGTGGAGATCGCAAGGATGGTGGGTAAGCGTGCTCTCTCAATCCTTTATGCATTCGTTCAACTAAAAATTTTGGTCTCTGGATTTTGCTCACGGAGGGGATCTGGATCTGATTCTCCTGAATAATGGTTGGACGGAGATCAATTGTACTGGACCAATTTGGACATAGTCTGGCAAAAAAGGTGCACACCGTAGACGAAAAGGATATAGCCACTCTCAATTTATGAATTGAGGTATATCGATTGTAGCCAGCCACCGGGTCTTGCAAATTGATCATTCCCGCCGAAAACGCCAGCCGAGATTCGGGGCCAATTTAATTACGTACCAAACATCCACCTTGGATTGGCGATTCAAGCGCTGGCTAGTACCCGTAGTTTCCTTTGATGGTTGTCGTTGTGCGTATGCAACGGACACCCGCGGGAATGGTAAACTTGCTGCTGATAATTGAATCAAACTTCGACCGGAACACTCAGTCCGGAAAAAGAGATTATTGGTGGTTCCAATGAGAATTCCAAATCCGCAGACCCCGCCGGATGGTTGACTAGCGGTGAGGTGATGGTTTCTATGCTTGGACAGGAGCGAGTGGGCAAGGAAATTTGATCAATTCATTGTTTGTTTGCGTCGTATCCACACGGCCAGCGAGCGGTCCGTAGGCATCTTCTTTCGAAGAGGGGAAGGGAATGGAATTCGGCTTTGGATTGGTGGCGATGGGCCTGGTGGAGAGGCCGATGCAGCTATTTCGATTTGACACATATTGCTCCAGAATTGACCTGTCAACTTTTGATGAAAATCAGCTCTCCCAACCTTTTTCCTAAGGGTTTCCCCTCACTAAAATGAAATGATCAATAAATCAATTGCAAATAATAGAGCAACAAAGAGAGACAGAAGGAGAAAGAGAAAGTGGTACCGAGTTAGTTTAGGGGTCCGGCTCAAGGACTACCATTAGTGCGACCAGGTATCTACCCCGTTTCCAAGCAAAAGAGAAAAGTCCCTCGTTAAGAGGTTCAGACATAATGGTCCCAATATGGAGTCACTCGGTACAGTCGACCGACCGATAAACCGCTGCAGAGAGATGTGAAATGGGGAGTTTCAGCTACCTCATATGGCATTTCTTTGCAGAAAAAGAAAAGAACATAAAACAAAAATGGTCAGAACAGGGAACAGGGGAGTTGGACGCTGCAAGACATCGGAGAATAAGTCGACAACGAATGTCCTGTACAACCAACTCGCAATAAAATGCTCGTTTGGTGGGATAAGAACTCTAGCTCCACATTCCTTTATGTATCGAAAATTGAGATAGTCAAAGGCTAAAACCCTTTGACTACTTTGGTCGACCAAGGACCGCCGGCCAAGAATATGAGGAATATACTGATCAACGTCAGCGGGTGGGACCAGGAAATGGCATTTCCCCAGACCTGATAAGGTTCAGCTTCATGATCCCAGTCCCAGCAAGGGCGGTAAATTGCAGGTGGCTGAGCTACTGCGTTCAAGAAGGGATAAAGGTCGAGCGGACAGCTTGGGAACCTGCGCTTGCATTTTCCACCCGTCGAATCAGCTATTCCCAAGCCCCAGTAACTTATCAATCGCTCGACTGACAACCGATCCAAATGGCGTGACTTCCATGATTGGCCCATCTGATTCGATCCAATCATCCTGACCGCCATTGCATATTGGCTGAAAGAACTTCCGTATGTATGTTCCCCCGGTCATAGATCCCACAGGGAGTACCGTGGATGCCGTGACGGTGCCTCGGGGCATTAGCGCTCGCAGTGGGGCCCTATCTTTTAGGTAGCAAACAAGTGGACTTTAATCAAAAATCTTTTAGTGCTGTAGCGTCCCGACTCCCAAGTTCTGGATTAACTCCAGTTTATCTGGCTGCAAGGCTGCCCGCAACGGATGGAGACTGGAGATGCATCTTCCCAAATAGCCAATCAAGGAAGATAAGGCTCGATCCCTGGCTCGGTAACTATAAAGAAATGTGTGCAATATTTAGAGGCGCGTCAATTGCATCCCTGTTTCAAAGACCCGTAACCACTGCACCGCTAGGTGCTAGCAATTATAACACCAGTTAATTAAGACACCGAGCGGGTTAAGCGTAGGAGACGAATTTTGGCCCACCAGGACTTGATCGGTAGTCTGAAGCCTCGAGGGAGCGAGCGGCCCAGACCAGGGGATTGTGCTGGAAGTGGAATAGATCGCGTCCTCTTCGACGTCATCCGCAACAAGTCACATTAAGAGAGAGCGAGAGAGAGAGCGAGATTCAGCGTCCGCGGTTACCGACTACCGAGTTTCTCTGGTGGTAAGCTGCATTAACGGTTTCCAAAATATGCAGGCGATGACAGTGTGCTCCCCTTTCACAAAAAAAAAAAAAGCAAATTTATTATCGGAATTCCTTTTCTTTCGTCTTGAATTTGAATTTCAACCATTTCTCTGCTTCCGCGGATGTGCCTGCATGAATTTTGATAATTCTTTTCTTTTTTCTTTTTCTGGTTTCTCACCCAATCTCGTAAAATTAGGCCAGCTTTGAGGGAGTCGAAACACGTATCGCACCCATGTACATGGAAGGCAGATCACACTTTTCCAGGCGATCTCATTTGCTGGAGTGCAAACGCTTGTCATCCACGGGAATATCCGAGTAACCTGGGACCATCACGGACCCCAACATGACATGTTAGTTTGCAAGGGTTCTGGTGTGATTGATATTTGGATGCATGGATTTCATCTAGTCGTGTCTCCAATCGATCGATCGGCCCTAGAGCGAAGATCTCCCGATGACCAGTGCGAATTTCTGGGTTTCAGAGAGGGTCTTGGATCAACGGACCACTCGCTCCTCGCCAGACTCTATAAAAGGGTGCCGGGTGCCCCAAGGAGATTAAGCTCAACGATCGAGGAGACGTGTGCCAGACAAACAACCGACTTCATTTAGACTTTGGCCATTGCGATCTTTCGGGGAAATCTTTCGGGAAAACGGGCCCTCTTTCTCTCTGCCTTCTTCTCAAAAGACCTTTGTCGCATTCAATCCTACCTTTCCCCCCAAGTCTTTTTGTCAAGTTTCTTCTTCTCCATCATCACAATGCCGGTAAGTGTCTTGATCGGCCATCACCTGGTGAAGAACAATCATTGACTTTGTGTTGACCACGCCAAAGATGCCCGGAGTCCGCTGTCCCACTTGCCAGGGAAATGGCAAAGAAACCTGGGTAATTCCGGGCAAAGACTGCCATGTATGCGGTACATCATGCTGAAAAGCACCGCTCGGTAAGCGCAAACCACCGCCGACCCCGTCGGGAACATGTCGAAAGCCCAAGCTAATTCATTTACCACGACCGACAGACTCTTTGAAAATATGAGTCAGGACTGAAGGCACAAAATATTTCGCAACAATCGTTGATGGACAGCGGAAGGTCCGTTCACGTCCAGGCAAATGCATTGGCTCGCGACCATGCTCTGTTTTCTTTTCCTTTTGCTGGGGGGAGCGAGGATGGGGGAAGAAGGGACAAGATGGAATGGGAGCAACCAAGACCCGATCGCATGAGACTTGGAATCCGACACTGACAGGCCGGGCTGGGATTAGCCGCGCACACGAGAGAGGCAGGGAGACCAGAATGTACGATACAGAATGTCCAGAGAGATCGTAATGAAGTGATGATCAACAACGGTACCCGGAAGCTTGAAGTAGATGTGAGTGTCAAGAAGAAGTTAAGAGAGACGCGCCTACTGAAAGTGACCTACATTCTTGTGCCTGATACTTCTAGCTTCCCTACGAGATCACGAGACCATCGTGAATGTGTACCTCATGCAGAGATAAGATCGGCGAATCAACGTGCTCCAATTCCGCATTAACATTCAGGCACCCAACGACGTCATTCCCCGCATGTCACCATCCTGCCAGCATCACCACTTCATATACACCTTAGAACTACCAACTAACTTCATACTTTGTGACTAACGAAATCACAAGGAATCCGCCGATTCCACCATCTTCAGTTGTTAAAATGGCAGAAACCTACCCCATCGGCTCCCGGAGCGACTGCGAACGAATGGTTCGAGAATGGGGATTCGGGCATGTCTTCACCTGGTCTGATGGAAGGTAATCCCCTAGCCTTTGTAGCTTCCCATTGGTTTTTCTATCTCTGATACATGATATAGCAACTCCCACTACACACCACACTCTCACTGTGGCCTAACAACCCATCTCATTCGCCAAGGGACCCTGACAATCACGTACCCCGATGACAACGCCCAACTGCACAATGGGGAGGTGAAGAAGGAGACATTTGGCGTGGGTGCTCGAGTTGATGTCCCCGCTGGGAAGCTACATGAGGTTTGGATTGGACCGGAGGGATGTGAGTATGTGATTGGGGAGTGAATGGATGAATGAGCGTTGAGTTGAAAGACGAAACGTCGAGTTGGATCGTTCCTCCCGAGCATGGGATGGTTCATTATCTATCACTTTTGTGTGTCATTCCAGCGCTATACTGATACCAAATCCGACTCTGTTCCGTATAGAGCTTTCGTTCTATCCATCGTTCCTGCGTTGGTTTCGTTTTCCTCCACCGAGGAGTGTGCGTTTTGCTTTAGAGCAAAAGCAAACAAAGAATCCATAACCAGCTGGATACTGTCCGCTTTGCTGCATATCTAGTCTAATAAATAAATCGGAAGTCGAGTCTGGACAGGATGTTAGTCTATGCCACGATAACCACACAGCAAATGGAAGTAGGTATCTCATACCGTTTATTTCCTCTGTGAGAGTTCTCAGCCAAATACTGTTCCCTCTCCTCTGTGGACATGGTATCCCAGATTGCAGCTTTTTGCCTAACAAATAATCAGCAAATAGACACGTGTGACAAGACACGGTTAACCTACTTGTTGCGCCAGACATAGTATTGTCTCGCGAAAATGTAAAGGAATATGCTCAGGACCGTCAAAGCTATGAGGACCTTGTTTCCATTGCGATAATGAGGCTTGTCGTCTTCGCGGTAAATCTATAGGGGCCAATCTGTTAGTATCGCATAGCGAAACTAGTTGATGAGAGTTTTTTTCTACTCACATTACCGGCGATGATACTCGACGCCTGAACCATCATGTTATACAATGCACTGGCAACCGTTCGGGTACGGACCGAACCCGCATTGCGAGAGGTCATCGCCACAACGATAGCATGCACGTATGGAGCTCCGATCAAGAGAACGTTGATGATCCAGAGACCCCAGGGGCTGGTTCCATCGGGCAGAACCTCGAGTGCAATAAGCAAAACCAAGCACCACACTTCCGTCATGACGCCCAGGGTGAAACGCTGGTTGAAACGCTCGGAGATCCACGTCCAGAACAGCAAGTTCAGGATAAAAACGACATATGCCGGGATGGTCAGAAGGTTGGTCTCGAAAGTTCCGAATCCAAGCGATTTCAGTTGCAATGTGATATAATTGGTAGCTGGAGTGTTGGGGATCATCCAGACCAGTCCCAAGAGATAAATGGGCCACATGTCATAATCGCAGACGGCATGCCAAAGCATCTTCGGTGTCACTGCCTGTCTGTTGTGCATGCCTCCTTTGCTAGGATCGTCTCGAAGCACGCGGTTTACCATGATTTTTTCTTCATGTTCATTAAACCAGCCATCCTTTCCTCGGAGACCGCCCTTGGTCTGCGTGGGTGAGGCAGGCATCCAGAAAGCCGCGGTGATTGCGATGATGCCGGTGATGAGACCTTCGTAGGCGAAAAGGTACCGCCATCCGCCGTTTCCATCGTCGTCACGAATGTGTAGAAACCCAAACGCCAGGAATGCACCGATGATCGCAGTGCCTTGATACGAAACCCAGAAAAAGCTCAAGCGAATGGGCAGCTCCTTAGATTTGTACCAGAAAGACAGGAACAAAATGGTATCCGGAATACTGGAATCAGTCAGCACAACTCGCCGCCGGGAAGTTCAGTTCTACTGGTGGACTCACAATCCTCCCTCAAAGAGACCCAGAAGTGCTCTGCATGCGAAATATCCACCTTTACTCTTGATGAAGGCTTGGCAGGCTGCTATTAAACTCCAACAGAACATCTGAATAGGGATCCATCGATCGGGTCCCAATTTTTTCGAGAGTAGCTGAGATGGAAGCTCCGCGAACAAAAAGATTAAGTAGAAGATAGTCTGGCCGGTGTTATAATCGTTGGTGTTCATGCCTAGGTCATCCAACATGTTATCAGACATGGCTTGGACGATATTCCCACGGTCCAGCTGGAGCGCAAAGAAGGTAACGCATGCGAACGTGCATACGCGCCAATCGATCTGCAACAGGGTCAGCGCCTTCTATTCCTCTGATCTTTTTTTTTTTTTCTCATTTTCATTCATCTTCAACCGAACGCAATGCACACACATACCTTTCTTATAACTCGTTTTTCTTCCTCCTCCGTCCATTCAAAATCCGGATCCCAACGGTGAATACCCTCATATGAATCGATAGGCTTGTAATATCTCGGATCTTCGACGGTATCGAAGGCGCATTCGCCTAAATCTTTAACGCGAGCACGAGGCTGGTCCAGCGACGACGAGGATGTGTTCCCCGACTGAGGTGCATTCCCATCATATTTGATTGGGCCAGAGTCCGTGACTGCCCCCTTAGGTTCGTCCGCGGCCATTGCTGCCGAATATGAATCTGCGCCTGATGTCTGTCCACGGCTTGACAAGGTCGATGGCAGAAATTAGAGCGAACACGGGCTAGGCTGGTATATAAAGGCTTATTCTACAGAGGCTTTCGCACGAGACAAAAGCTGCTATGCCGCCATCACGCAATCCTGGATCCCAGATGGACCGATGTCTCTTAAAGCTAGTAGTCAACCCCCGACACGCAGTGGATAGCTGTCCGTGGCCAATCGTGATGCATGGATATTGTAGCACCTCTCGAACTTGCTTTTTTTGCTGAAAAGGGTCGATCGCGGCCGGTGTCCGCGATGGTTGAACGTCACCAACGGCATTAGTCGTAAAATCTTATGTTGATCAGGCACTTGCCACGATAAGCGAGTTGATATGCATAAATTTGTACTATATTTGTAGATGAGTATGCTTAAACGATGGCCTTCTACCCAATGGGAACTATGTTGGTTACATCACGCAAATCCAACCGTGGTGACGTTATGGCGAACGAGTTAGATGAGCGTCAATCGACAGGGATCTTGTTACCTAGTCTGGACATCAGAAAGACTGGACCCTCAGCAGTCCCATTGAACCAAGGATAGACTGAGCCTGGAGATAATTTAGGACGGAATGTCAAATAAGCAACGGGCGGATTCCACCATCGGATTGGCTTATGGTGATATCTTTCGCCATCACCATCACAACTTTGCGTCCGGCATTGATTGGTCTTGGATGCTGCAGCATCGAAGCGAAAATATGCATCAACAGGGATGTTGATTTTCTCCTATCTTTCTTCAATCCTGTCTGTTGACCGCAGCTCCAATGGCAATGTGGTGCAGTGTCCCTGATCGCGACGTCCGTAACGCTGAATTTTCTGGTTGATTTGCGGAAACGAAAGGAAGGAGCCAACACAAGGAGCCCAAGTTATTCAGGAGAGAAATCCACTTGAGATGAGGCTAAATGGGCCTAAGCGGGGTGGTTGCGTTTGGGTTCGAAGTTGGGGCCGTTTGCGCGACTGGGCAGCCCTAGCACGCCATGGCCACTCCACTCCTCTCTCTCCCGAGGTCCCTCGCTTTCCACCTGCTGTGTGTTTTAGCTCCCTCACGATGGCGACTTCTTTCATAAGTAGTAGCGACCTTCCATAACCGGCTATTCTTTTTCTAATTGACTCTTGCCGCCGTTAAATTCTCGACTGGGCGTAACCGAGCCAGTTGCAGGCCGGAAAGCTGTCGTTATATCTGCCGAATAGGGAATCCTACCTGGTATCACACCATAGCACAGCAATGCTTGATCAGCATCCTTTTCTGGGCAATGCTGTCCTCATTCGATGACTCGCACAACGGTCTCGGGTTGTGAACCGTGTAACCCCGCGCCAGTCCATGGCGAATCCAATGAAGCCTTCCCTGTCGGATCAAAACATACCCCGCAGGTATTGCGCAAGCCCATAAGACGGATATTCGGATGGGATGAAGAGAACGGTATATCTGGCGATGGAGTCCTCGTGAATGGATGGACCGATAGATAGATTGTCGACATTGCATTTCTTCCAGACCATAATCTAATCTGATCTATTTCCCACCCCCGAACATGGCTCCTTCTATCACTGAGACCGTGGCTCTGCGTACGGCTCCTTCCAAGCCTCTCCGGACTGAGGGAGGTCATAATAAGGAGAACTTTGCAGGATTGAAGAACACCTACAATCACGATGATGAGATCAAAGGCACGGCGAAGCAGCCTCCGGCTTCGTTTCCCCATTACCTTCCCGTCTGGGACAACGAGACCGAGAAGTATGTCGAGCCTGTACTTTAGGGTCATCCCCTGGTCGTACTAACGGAGTATCAAGATACGCCCCTTTGACCCCGTTCGAGCATTATGACCACGGAAAAGATGCGGACCCTACCTTCCCCGACCTCTTCCCCCAAGGCAAGGCTGAGCTGGACCATCTGACACCCACTATCGGTACCGAAGTCAAGGGAGTCCAACTGAGCCAGCTATCAAAAGAAGGAAAGGACCAGCTAGCACTATTTGTTGCTCAAAGGAAGGTCGTTGGTATGCCATGCCCTATAGACCTGCAAAATAAGAGCACAAACTAAGACCTTCCCAGCTTTCCGGGACCAGGACTTCGCCCACCTACCAATCGATAAGGCTCTCGAGTTCGGTGGATACTTCGGAAGACACCACATTCACCAGACCTCTGGAGCCCCAAAGGGCTACCCGGAGGTTCACCTTGTTCACCGAGGTGCCGACGATAAGAGTGGTGCTGAATTCCTAGCTCGCAACACAAACTCTATCACATGGCATTCGGATGTGACGTTCGAGAAACAACCTCCAGGCACCACCTTCCTGTATTTCCTAGACGGACCTTCAAGTGGCGGAGATACCTTGTTCGCAGACCAGGCTCAGGCGTACAGACGCCTATCGCCCGAGTTCCGTAAGCGTCTGCACGGGCTGAAGGCCGTTCACTCTGGAATTGAGCAGGTGAACAACAGTTTGAACCAAGGAGGCATTGCTCGCCGTGACCCTATTACCTCGGAACATCCCATCGTTCGCACCCATCCTGTGAGTGATAATTCCTGGAGCATTATATATGAGAATGCGAGATTTAACATACCAATCTAGGTCACTGGCGAGAAGGCGCTTTATGTGAACCCGCAGTGTGAGTACAGCTTCCGATGCTCAGTGGACCTGATACAATGACTAACAACTGTCCAGTCACCCGTTACATCGTTGGGTTCAAGAAGGAGGAGTCAGACTTCCTCCTTAAGTTCTTGTACGACCACATTGCTCTGTCCCAAGACCTGCAAACTCGCGTAAGATGGCGCCCCGGAACCGTTGTCGTTTGGGATGTAAGCGCCCCTTGTTGTTCACTGAAACGCAAGCCGAAACTGACTTTCGCAGAACCGTGTGACCGCACACAGTGCACAGTACGACTGGGAGGATGGTCAGAGACGTCACATCGCGAGAATCACCCCACAAGCGGAAGCACCTTATGAGACACCTTTTGAAGCATGAGCAAGTCAAGGAGGAAAAGGTCATTTGGAAAATGCTGAAAAGCTATTCAAATTTCAACGCAAGAAACGGCACATAGAGAACGAAGTATGGACTAACGAATGAGAATCTCAATTTTTACTGGAATCAAAAACCTTGCCGTCCTAGCCAGAGAATGAAAGAAAAAAAAGCTAGGTTGCATAGAAGAGTTACGCCAGGAATAATAATGCTTTCTTCGCGGGTCGCTGTAATCCCAAACTTTCGAGGAATCCAAACTAAAGATAATATCCACCAACTCGAAGTGTTTGCGTATCAGCGCACCGAGCATCCCTGAATGCCTAGCTTGAAATCAGCCCCAAATGGCGAGTTCGATCAGCTCGACAAGCACTCATCTTCACAAGGGTCTGTAGGCGGAGTGACTCTAATCGTTGGCGGTGGCATGGAACATGCGCGTCCACGAAGTTCAGGCTTATTGGCGTCGTGTGCCACATCCTCGATATGGTAAGACCGGGGTCCATTTCGAGCCTCCGATTGGGGGATGAGTGTTGGATTAGACGGGCTCGAGGCACCGCTTCCCCCTGATCCGCAGTGATCCTTTATCGAAAGTCGCTCGAAAGCATTCTCAAATTGCTCCCAGGTGATAATGTCATCGATTTGAGAGACTGTTGGCGCCATGGGAGATTCCTGAGAGAGCGCTGCCATTTGGAGGCTAGTAAGAGGGGTAAATCCGAAAGACTAAATTCAACAGTCAGTGGATATCAAGTGAGATTTGGAATCTTTGGAGGGGCCCAGCTTACAAGAGAGGTTATTGACTGAGCTATGCAGGTAAAGTTTGCGCACAGAGGTCTGTCGCGGAGATAAAGAGAGGCGTACTGAAGGAAGGTCCAAAGTTTGTATGACTACGGTAGGTAGTCTTGTGTGTGTGTGTGTGTGGTTTCAGTAAGAGGGAGATAAGATGAAGAAAGCAGCGATGGAGACGACGAGAAGAAGAATCTCCTGAAGGGGCCCCCAACAAAGAAAGGGAAATGAGGCACAAAGGCTTTCTTGAGGAGTGTCTCAAAAGGGAAGGTGCTTCTCATCGTCGGTTCATTGTCTCGTCAACCCTTCAACCGATCAAAGCGGTGCATCACGGCTACTCGCCACTCCCGGAAATCCCTTGCAGACACGGGCAAACCCTCACTGCCACCTTGCAACGACTTAGAGACAGCAAAAAAAACATAGGGCGGTAGACGAAGCTCATCGAGAGACAACGACAAATTCTTGCCGCTCTCGGGATGCAACAACTCATCCACATCGGCAACGGTTTGGAACAAGACCTTCATTGCCCGTTGTGCTGTGACACTATGGTCAGGGCTGGAATTTGAATACCACAGATCGGGATTGAAGACCCAGATCTATATACAAGTCAGATAATGCAAGTGGAAATGAGAATCCAATGAACATACCAGCAAGCCATTCTTCTGCCCACCATGAACAACAAATCGTCGAGTGCTTTCTCGTTCTATTAGCTCCAACAATTGAGCGGCCACAATGGTTTCTATAGGGTGACTGTGCCAGGTAGAACGCTCATCTTCATCTTGTTCCCCTAGCGGCATACTTGCAGAAAGACTTGTCTTGAACAATCGCCATCCTTGAGAGACAGTGTCTTCCATGCCAATCAAAAAACCGCAATTCTCACACCGAAGTTCTCTTTGCAACTCTAGCAAGGTTTTACCCGTATCATCTGGTTGAACCTGACAAGTAAAAATCAGCAATTAGCTTGCTGCATTCGACCAACAGAGAAAAACAATTTAATTGGGGGACAAAAGAACACGATTGAACGCTTGGAATGGTTATATTTGTGGGATATTACGTTCTGTTCTATCTGGTAAACGACCATCGAGTATGGCAAGAAAGCCCACAGATATTGCAGGTGAGCTACATCCCCATTCCCACAGATTCGAGCATGTACCTCGTTATACTCATGTCGACCCCATATCTCTGGGTCAGTCCCATAGGGACCAAATCAACGAAGAAACAAGCAAGGCGTAGTCTTGGCCCCCAACAACTGGGTATGGATAAAGGGTAGCCACGAAATCCATCTCAGAGAAGAGGATAACTGCAACATATCCTCCAACCAACCAAAATGTTGGGCATAGACTTATGCTATGCTAACAAACCAAGACCCTGTAGCTGTAGGGCAGTTGTATCGAAGACCAAAGCATGGAAATGAAAAGGCCTCCTTCTTTTATACCCAAGACGTACTGGCGACCCTGGCGTCATGAGTAGACACGGGCAGAATGTGGCAGAACGCAGAACACAGAAAACAATAGTGAAAGAAGATTAACTCGCAAATAGCATTTCTCACCTGTTTCAAGCCCTTACACTCGGCTTGCGATATCAGAAACGTCGCCACATCCACCAGGACAGTACCGGGTATCGCGACCACTTGATTCGCAGCCCCATACCCCTTCACCGTCGCATTGGGGTCTTCATCTTGCTTATCCTCAGGTTCCGGGTCCGGTTTATGACAGTGCCAGAAATCCATCATTTCCGCCCAATTCCCACTGGGAAGGTCTTTCCAAACCCACCCGGGAGACCGCCCACTCGTCGCACCAGTGTCATCACCTGGCGAATCCAACACCGCCGTCTCGCACTGCCGACAACGCAGCCTAGTGGCCGGCGTCATATCGTTCGTGGTCCACGGCACGAATCCATCCAACGGCTCGTCCCTCGAAAGCAGCGACTCGCTCTCACCGTCAATCTGCATTCGAAACGAATACTCCCGCTGATCGGCCTCGCATTTTCCCTCCCCGAGACCGCCATCCCTTTGTTGAGTGAGCGCTAGCACGCGACGAGAGGCTTCGCTGACGCGCGCGGGAAGTTTTATTGTGTCTGACACGTGGTCGAAGGGGGGAGGGAGCGAGACGGTGATGGCTCGACGGGACTGCGAGAGCGATACGTCGGGGTGGATTCCCTGTGAGTGTAAGTTTGCGGGCAGAGAGACGTAGAGTGTGATGTGTCGGATGTTGCGGAGGAGTTCTGCATGTAAAGAGAGGACGGGATCCTGGTCCTGATTAGTTTCTGTAGACATTCTTGGTTGTTTGTCGTGATATGGTGTCGATCGAGTGAAGTCAAGTTTTATGAATGAGGAACGTGTTGGCGTTGGCGTTAGCGTTGACGGGCGCAGGACGCGGCGCATTTCAAATGCAAACATTGCAAATCCATTCCGCCTTAGGAATTAGGCATCAACTATGCCCGCAGATTTGTTGTCAAAGAATTCTTTTTTTCTTTTCTTCGTAATTATCAGATACTCTATAAAGGCTATACAACCTCTTCCAGTATACCCAATTATGCTTTTATTTGATGCAAAATTCCAGCCGAGATCGAAGACATCGATGGGCCAACTAGGTGCAATGTCCTCCAATAGCACACATAAAAAGGGAGAGATGCCATTAACGCCATCAAGTAATCGAGATCAAAAGAAACAAAATTAGTATCACAAATGTCCATTACCTCCTTGAACCCTCAAATAGACCCTCCCCAGCCGCTGAACTCCTCGGCAAACTTGACGGCCGTCTTCAAGAAATAAGAGTCCGAGTCACCCCACGTCGAGGCGGCCTCTCTGCAAGCGCGGATAGCCTTGACGTAATGCGCATCGGTCGAGTGCTCGCCCTTGACGGCCTTCTTTGCCGTCCATTTCCAATCTCTTCCAGCAAGATCATAGTCCCGGATGCGGTCGAGATGGATTTCCGGCCTCATTTGCGCAATGTAGATGGCCAGAGTTGTAAGCCACCATTGTCTGACCAATGGAATCTGGTAGCGACCGGGGATCAAGGGGAGAAGAACGCGGACGGCGTGGCTGGTTGTCAATATGTGGACGAAGAAGAAGTCATATTTTTCGTTGATCTTGCCATGGGTGGCAGCCAATATGGCCGCGGCTACCTCCTGGCTCTCGCGGAATTGGTTGATGGGGTCCTCGATTTTCCACGCATTCCAGTGGTTGAGAAGAGCGGCTTCGTGCTCTCGGAAAATTATCTCCATGTTGTGGGCGCCTGGGTGGCCGAAGAGCCCGTGGAATCGCTGGTCAGTTCGCACCTTGTTTAGAACATCTAGGAGAGAAGCTGAAGTATAGGACGACTCTGCTTGAGAGTACGAGGGGTCATCCAGATACTTATGGATGCTTCCGTAGCAGGTAGTCGTCAGAGAAAGAGCTTCCATGCCAACCTCACGGCTATTCATCTCGAAGGCATAAGCCAAATGGATCAAGGGATGTCCAACTATGTCGAAGAGTTAGCTCGGTGATTTTGAACATGGATTCACGGATTTCAACGCACGGTCTTCAACAAGAGAGTTGAATATGGGCTCTTTGCCCGCGAAAAGATATTCAAAGATAACTTCCTTCCAGTCATATCCGTAGCGCACGAGCTCATCCTCAAAAAAGTCTACATAAGCTCGCTGATACCTAATAAACCGAGTGGTTAGTCAAAACCCAAGAGTCGCAGCTGCAAGAAGGCAAGTAAAAATAGGCTATGACATACTCCCTCCGACCCAAGAAGTCTCTCCAGTCAAACGTACTGATCTCTGTGGGCGAATCCACCCAGGGATCCAATGACTTCGATTCCTCCTCATAGATGCGAGTCAGATCATCCGCATCCGCTCCCTGCAGGAAGGACGAGCTCAGGAGCTAGACAAATTAGTGCTAAGTTCATCACGGCAGGGAACTGTTACTGACATGAGGGGCATGGTTGTGGAATTTCCGTTCATTCCATAAAATGGCATGATTGGCGTGGTTGAGCTTCAACAGGTGCTTCAAAGCTCGGGCTGACTTCTCATGAGCTGTATCCGTCTCATGAACCTTGACCGGGGGAAGGTCAAACATTGTTCGATCCCGCCATGAGAACAGCTTGCCCAGCGAAGGCAATGATATGGTGAACATTGTTGACGACTGCGTATATGTGCAATGGGAACTGGTTGACACTCGGATCCCAGCAGACCTTGGCGTTGAGCTCTGGTGTTAGCGGAGCTCGATGGCAATCGGCCCTGGGCACTGGAAATTTAATGGCGTGCTCCGATTGTCGACTCTTATAATATAAATAAATGCAACACTTGATCACTCAAAGTTGCCTAGACAGGGGAGTGGCACTGGCGATGATCTGACCAAACTGTGGGGAAGGAACTCAAGAGTTGTTGGGGTGGATTGGTGGCCTCAGGTGGCCATGACGCAATGTGCACTCGGTGGCGTATATGCCTGAGGCACCAACTGTTCCCAAAGTAGATACCAGTATCTATCTTCTATTCAAGCGCGATGATAATTACACAAATCCAAACGCTAATCAATCATGTGCCATAATACCTGCCCATGGCTTTATTTCCTGTCTTTTCCTTCAAGATGCTCGTCCTGTCCACCTTTGTGTTCACCATAGAATTCACCTCCAGCCACTTCGCCCGCGATAAAATCAACATCTGCCCGTGGTCCGGTGAAGTTCTTGCGACCATCAACAAACCACTGGAATGTTGAAATAATCAAGATAATACCAAAAGCAGCGACACAGTAATCTGATTTCATGAGTTGAATTAGCACCTTGGGAATTTCCCAGATATCAATTGGGGAACATACTCATGTTGCTACCGGTAACGGGAAGCTCGGGTGGGAAGAGGAAAAGCACGGTCGTGAGAGAGATGTATGCTAGGGAAACCTATCGAAAACATTATTATACATA